CGAAGCAGAAACGAGGATTTGATAACAAGGAGCAAACTGCTACCACTCGAAAGGAACCAAAGAAATTTAGAGCAAGGAGCAAACCGCTCGAAACAGACTACAGAAGTTCGAAAGAGACTGGAGAATTTGAAAGCAGGAAGCAAACCGCTCGAAAGGAACTAGAGAAATTCAGAACAAAAAGCAAATCCTTCCAAAGAGACTAGATAAATTGAAAACAAGGAGCAAACCACTCGGAGGAACTGGGGAATTTCAAAAAGAAGGAGCAAACCGCTCGAAAGACACCAGGGAGTTTCGATAGAGACTAGAAAGTTCTAAACAAGGAGCAAACCGCTCGAAAGGAACCAGAAAGTTTCAGAAGAAGGAGCAAACCGTTCGAAAGAGCCTAGCAAATTTCGGAAGAGACTAGAGAGTTTGAAAACAAGAATCAAACCGCTCGAAAGGAACTCGAGAATTTCAGGACAAGGAGCAAACCGCGCGAGAGAGACTAAAATAATTAAGAAGTTGAGAACAAGCAGCCAAACGCTCGAAAATGAACTAGGGAATTTCAGAACAAGGACTAGAGAATTTCGAAAGAGACAAGAGAAATTGAAAACAAGGAGCAGGCCGCTCCAAAAGGAACTAGGGAATTCCAGAACAAGGGCCAAACCGCTCAAAACAGACTAGAGAATTTCGAAACAGACTTGAGAATATGAAAACAAACAGGGAACCGCTCGAAAGGAAGGAGAGAATTTCAGAAGAAGGAGCAAAGCGCCCGAAAGAGATTCGATAATTTTGAATGAGACTAGAGAATTTGAGAACAAGGAGCAAACCGCTCGAAAGGAACTATAGAATTTCAAAACAAACAGCGAACAGCTCGAAAGAGATGGGAGCAAACCGCTCGAAAGGAAGTACCGAATTTCAGAACAAGGAGCAAACCGCTCGAAAGAGAGTAGAGAATTTGAAAGGAACTAGAGAGTTTCAGAACAAGGAGCAAACCCATCGAAAGAGACTAGAAAGTTTGAATGCAAGAAGAGCCGCTCGAATAGAACTGGGGGTTTCAGAACCAGGAGCAAACCGCTCGAAAGAGATTCGAGAATTTCGAAAAAGACTATAGAAGTTGAAAACAAGGAACAAACCGCTCGGAAGTGACTTGAGAATGTTTTCAGAACAAGCCGCAAAACCCGGTCGAAAGAGATTAGAGAATTGGGAAACGGAGCAAACCGCTCGAAGAGTCTCAGAAAAGGAGCAAACCGCTCGAGAGAGACTAGAGAAGTTCGAAAGAGACTAGAGAATTTGAAGCCAAAGAGCAAAACGCTCAAGGGGAACTAGAGAAATTCAGAACAAGGAGCAAATCGCTCGAAAGAGACTAGAGAAATTGAAGACAAGGAACAACCCAGTCGGAAGGAACTAGAGAGCTCCACAACTAGGAGCAATGCGGTCGAAACACACTCGAAACAGACTTGAGAATTTAAAAGCAAGGAGCAAACTGCTCGAAAGAGACTAGAGAATTTGGAAATAGACCAGAGAACGTGAAAGCAAGGAACAAAGCGCTCGAAAAGAAGTAGAGAAATTCGGAACAAGGATCAAATCGTTCGAAAGGGATTAGAGTCTTTGGAGACAAGGAGCAAACCGCTTGACAGGAAGTAGAGAGTTACAGCAGAAGGAGCAAGGCGTTCGAAAGACACCAGTGAAGTTCGAAGGAGACTAGGGAAGTGGAGAACACGGAGCAAACCGTTTGAGAGGAACTAGAGAGTCCCAGAACAAGGAGCAATCTGCCCGAAAGAGGTTAAAGAATTTGACAACAAGAAGCAAGCCGCTCGAAAGGAATTCGATAATTTCAGAACAAACAGCAAACTGCTCGAAAGAGACTAGAGAATTTCGAAGCAGAGTAGTGAAGTGAACAACAAGGAGCAAACCGCTCGAAAAGAGCTAGAGAGTTTCAGAAAAAATGGAGCAAATTGCTCGAAAAACTTGAGAATTTCGAAAGTGACTAGAGAAATTGAAAACCATGAGCAAACCGCTCTTCCAAGGTTCCGTCTTAGCCGGGCTTATACTATTTGGATTCGACAGGGTTTAACATTCAATCTTAACGTATGTACGTATGTAGACAAATCTTCGTCGATTGCCTATGGCATAATGTCTGATTTCAACCCTAAGCGAGGGAAAGACATACATTCGAATTTAAATCCTTCCCGTGGCGCTCGACTGATGGGTTCTGCTAGGTTCAGAGGTGTAAATTCGAACTGAAGCCATCTGGATGCGATGTCTACGCCCCGCCCTCCCGGAATAAATGTGAGTTTAGTCTTTTTCTAAATTCGAAATCCTGCCTCATCCCCCAGTTGCACCTCCAAAACCCTAAATCCACAACCCTAAACCCCTATACCCGAAGCCCTAAACAGAAGGCGTGAAAGTCCTGGCCGAGTGCCTGCCTCCCAACATCTCCAGCTTGAAGTTGAGCTTCGAAGGTCCCTTCGGCTTCATTTAGGGTGTCATGCAGGGGCCTTCATAATTAGAGTAGGGTCTTGGTGTCTATCATATACTACATTATAATAAGGAGCCCCCCGAAATAGTATAGGTAATTATGAATATACTATATTACAATACGGAACAACCCAAAATAGTATAGGTAATTTATAATAGTGCTTGGGGCTGATTCGAAGGTCTCTTCGGCTTCGAAGAGATCGTATTGCCTCTGAGGTTTAGCTTCTCTTAGTCGGGGCTCAACGTATTTAAGTTCAGGGTTCAGGGCTTAGGCTATAGGGTTTAGGGTTTCAGGGTCGTTTAGCTTCCATGTCAGGCTTCTGCTCTTCCTCGGAGCTCAAGGTTTGGAGGGTTTGTTTTGGCTTCTGTGCCTCCGGTTTCGAGGTTTCCATAACTTCTTTTCAGCCTGTCTGTGTACGTCTCAACCCCGGCCTCTTGACCACCGGAGGAACAATGGCAACCAGAAGCACTTGCAGTGTTTCACATTGCGGGCCTGTTCGGTAATTGGATTACATATTGTGCTTGATTGCAAGGAGTTGAATATAAGTCGCACTGAACCCTCAACGCACTTGTCTGGCCAAGGACGCCAGCCCGCCTCACACAGCTATGCGCACAGTAGGACTTGCGTTAAGCCTGGTACCGGAGCACGTTCTTGCGGGACCAGTACTGGCTGCTTAGTCTATAACATAAAGCCCCATTTACGCGGTGTGGGGTGGGATAGACAGACAGAGATGGGCAAAGCGCTCGTTTCCACGTTGCCGCAAGACATTTCGCCCAGCACGCACTTTTCACCCCACCCCGAACCCTGACTCCAAACCTCAAGTCGCAAACCCCAGAACTCCGATAATGCAACTGTTCCAATGTCCTAAACTTTCATCTCCAAAGCCTCTATANNTCCTAGGCCCTAAACGAAGCCTTATTCAAAATTCAAGGTTGCTATCAGCTGACGGATGCTTCCCTTCATGCGCTGGCGTCTCACCTCCCCAAGCTCAGGACTCCTGGACTCCTATCATAGGGTTTAGTGTTGAAACTAAGGATGAACTTAGCCTCAGGTGTTGTATTAGTTTTCGGGTTTTGGGGTAGTCTCGGGTTGAAGCTGGGTTTTGGACGCGTTGGGCACATTCGCCCCGAAAGTTGTGGTGCAGATGTTATGTTTCAAGAATGTTGTTGCTCGCATGGTGATTGTTGGGTTTCATAACGTGTATCAGGAACCTACGAAAACGCTGGCAGGCACGATGAACTTGGGATTCGACAAGACAGACAGTATTATGCATGACAGGAGAAGCTGTCGCGATGTGATGTTTTTGTAACCGGTTTGGAAGCGTCGACTCGGCAGGTCGAACTTTGTAGTTCGTAGTTTCGAAATGGGAATGCTTCGAGCAAATGCGCCGGACGGAAAGCCTTTTTTTGCGGGTGCACCACCGTCACTCTGCCAGGCTGAGCCAGGAGTTGTCTGTCCAGGCTTTGGCGGGAGAGACTTTGTCTTGACAAAACACTGTGGGACATGGATGCTGTGTTCTTCGAATGCACTAGAACATGGACGTCATTATGGTTGGGACATGGACGCTCTGTTCTCCGAATGCACTAAAGAACATGGACGTCACTATGTGCTCCGTCCACGCACCAAGCTTGAAAGTGCTCCAGCGCAGAACCAGTTCGGCAGCAACATCCATTGCAAGAGATGCTCGAGTACAAGACTTCAGGATTGAAGGTTTACAGGGTTTACGCTGTAGTGCTATAAGGAGCGGGGCATCATCATCATCATCATCATCATCATGATGGTCATCATCATGGTCATCATAATGTCATGATCACCATCAGTGCGACAAAGCTGCATCGGCAGCAGCATCGTCATGGCAGACAAATCCGGGGCAAACGCAACCAACGCAGCCTAAACCTACGCTGCGTTGGGCATGTTTGTCATGTGAATTTGGGGGTTTGGCTTGTTTTGCTCTCAGAAGACACCCTAAACGTTGGATGTGCATTAGGGCCTTTTTGGTGAGTTCCTGTGGTACTATCAAAACAATTATCAACCTCCTTCGCCAGGTGGGCGAGAGTGTTGTTCCTTTGTTTTGAGGGGGATTTGGGGGTTCAGGGAGAGTCTCGTTTAGAGGCGGAAGGGGGTACGGTTTTGCAACCTTTGAGGCCACAGGGTTTGGAGGTTTGGTCTTAGGTTTTTGTATAAATTTTCTGTCGCTGGGGGTTTTAGGGTTGAGGGATCGGGGTTTTGGTTCGGTGGGTTTGTCGGGTTGTAAACGACTCGTGATCACGAAACTGCAGTAGACTAGAGCCGCATTGGCGCCCTTTTTGCACCGCCAACTACCCAACAAAAACTTGTACGGCCCAAGGACAAGCCCAAGACGCCTCAGCCCTAGACTCTAGACCTAGATTCCCAACCTTGAACCCGGACCCAAGTCAAACCGGGCTATGAATTGTCGCCCTGGATCCTGCTGGGGTTCGTTCAGAGCGGAAAGCTGAGTTGAGAGGGATTCACACTTTAGGATTGCGTGTGCGGGGTCTGCAGCATGAACTCTAACTAGGACATTGTACCTTGACTTCGTGGGCTGCGAAAATCTGACGGACGTGGGTATGAAGGCGCCTTGGCGATGGACGGGGGTCCCAGCCCAAAGCCCCGAGCAAGGTAATTTTAAGCCTTCAGTCAAAGGAGCCCATGGGTTGTCGGGGGTCTCAGACGGAAGCATGAGCCAACGCCAGTGGTAAAACTTCATGTAGGTTCCACGAAACTCTTGTAAACCCGTAAAGCCTTATAGAGGCCTTTTGCAACCCTCATGAAGGCATTACTTGACAGGTCCCTGCTAAATGCTTAAAACCCCTAACCCCGAAGCCTGCAAAAGGCGCTAGCCGAGAGCCTGCCGGAGACCTTGGCAGAGCTGGAGCTACACTTTGTGGGCTGCGTTCGACTCAACTCATCGGGCCTGGAACCTTGGCCTTTAGATAATGGTTTAGGGTTTATGTCGGAATTGTTAGGGTTGTTTTCGGTCTTTGTATGCATACAGTTCTCTATATTAGGGTCCCTTTTGAGATCCCAAACATAGTACAGCACCCTTACAGAATCGAGCCTAAAATGCCCTAATAGGGACCCTAGAGTCTTGTAAAGCTTTGTGTGGGCTGCCTCCGTCGCAACTCTGCGGGCCTGGCGCGGCCCAGAGTTAAGCGTACTGTAGGGTTTTCGGGTTTAGGGTTTTAGAATACTATAAGGGCTTGGGATTTTGGAAAGATTCCCTTGGATGTTGTTCAGGCCATGGTGCTACTAGGCCTGGTGAACTTCAAGTGGCAGGGCTTTTCAGGCGTAGGACTGCTTCAAAACCCCTGAACCCGACAAGAATATGAGGCTTAGGACTTCATATTCGCAATCACAGCTTCGTGTCAGAAGCAACTGAACTGCATTCTTTCTTTAAAAGGAATGGGGGGGGTTGCGCCGGAGCGGCAGCGCTCTGAAGCCCAGCAGTGCAGTGAGTGCTGCGTCAGAGGGAAGAAGGCTTCAGCAGGAAGCTGCAAGTTACGGACATAGCTGGGCGCCCGCAAAGGTTCAAGCATGAACGGGCATGAGGCGGGCTTCCGCGCGAAAGTGAGGACACGGTTGGGATGGCTGCCACACCATCCAACCCTCGAAACTGCTTCTCCCGTCCCAGACCATCCCAACCACCCCTCGCGCACCGTCCCGAAAGCGTCCTAAATGTCGGCTTTGGGGGTGTAAGGGTTGCGGTTGGGTTAGGGGGGGTTTAGTGCTTTGAGGTTTTGGGTTCAGCGGTTCAGGGGCCCAGAAGGGGCGGGCCGGGGGGGTGGTCCTAACTCCGAACCGAAGCAAACCCAAAGCCTTGAGCCCTGAAACCCAGACCGCCGAGGAAGCTTTGAGCAACAAGCTGCAGTCTTTGCAGTCTTTGCGCGTGCTGCCTGGTCCTGTTTAGGCATTCTGATCAAGGCTCTTAGTGGGCCTTTGTTCGGTGGGGGCGAAGCCTGACTAGGATCCCGTACATACATGGGTTTGGGGCTTTGCAGACCGGAGATCGGCTGAGCCCCAAAGCAGCGCGAGATCGGCTCAGCGCCCCATGTTGAGTTTTCCGGGACTTCCGCGCAATTCATGGTATTTCTTACTTACATGGTTTAGTCGTTGGCAGGGACCCAGTTGATGCCCAACTTTCTGACCCCAAACCTTGAATGAGTCAGGAATGTTTAGGAACGTCTCCCAGAAACGATGATGAGCCACGCGACCAAAAGCCTTGCGGCCCGAAAGCGCCTGAACCCGTGGGGCCCAAAAGCCCCAGAAGCAACTCTGCAAAAGCTAGCAGGCACTGGGGACATCTTCTTTGTGCTCTAAGGCTGAAGAGCCCCAAAATAGCAAATCATGCCTAAACAGTATTCTAAGTACCCGAAACTCCTAAGCCCCAAATACCCGTAAATCCTAAATCCTGAATCCCGTAAACCCGAAGCCCCACTCAGGCTGAAAGTCACCTACGCCGGAACGCGCGTGAACCGGAACTTCGCGAGCCGAGCGGAGCTTCGGGCCTTCGCCTCTCGGCTCGGGCAGAGGGGAGGGCTGGCGGAGGGCGGGAGGGGAGGCTGTAGGGTTTGGGGCCTCCATGATGACCTACACTATTGTTGGGGGGGTCCTCATTATGCTTATGCTGTGAAGGGGCCCAAAACCCTATTCTACTTGTTAAGAGGGCTCTACATTACGGTTTGGGGTGGCTGGGGGTGGGTAAACGGGGTTGGGTTGGTTGCGGCTTTTAAGGGTTTAGGCGTTGCTCTTCCTGTAGAACCTTGTAAGAATTTTCGGGTGGACGTGCCGCGGCATGCTTTTTTTTCAGAAGCCTTTTGCGCTACCCGGCTTTTCAGGGCTGCGACCGCTAATAGACCAGAAAGCCTAAATCCGACTCATTATGAGTACTATCTTGATTATTATTATGAGACCATTACTATTATTATTATTGTTATTGTTATTGTTGTCATTTTTGCTAGTATTATCTTGGATCGACCAAGTGAGGGGTTGAGAAGGTTGAGAGCCTTCCGCTCGTTGAGGCTGTTTTTTCGGAGACCCAAACATCCTAAACCTAACCCTAAACCCTAAACCCTAAACCCTAAACCTCCTAAACCTAAGTTAAGCCCGGCTGGTTCCCATGCCAGCCAGCACACCAGTCCAGATCTTAAATCTGAACGCTCCCCAGATTGATTGGTATGCTTCTGTAAGTCTAAGCGTTTTTTCCCCGGAGAGTCTGGGAAGTATCTCTTAACCCAAGCTCCGAATCTCAAAAACCAACGAGTGTCCATCTCTATCACACCCTGGTGCCCTAGGAAATGCAGTCAAATGTGCAGACGTCCTCTTTTGCATGCCGAGGTCCGGAAGCTGGATGTCAACGGAACATACCAAAAAGATGGATAGAGTTCTTTTTCGTCGTTGAAGATCCCGATGTTTTTAAGTGAAGGTTTTCTGGGCTGCGTGCTCGGTGTGGGATTCAGCACGAACCCAAGCTGTCTGGCACGGTTTTCCGAATCGTCTCTTACCTTGGCGATTCAACTCGGGACCCACATGGACTTCAAAGAAGTACCGCTTGTTACGGTTGCGACTGTCGCAAACAGAACACGCCCTTCGATTTTCAGGCTGTGGGGTTTTGCACCTCAAGATGAGGGAGTTCAGGTTTAGGATGTAGGCTTACAGTATCCCCCCAAAGTCTGATGCCTCGACTTTACACTTAAATATCCTGGAGCCCTTTGAGCTTTAATCTCCGACATCCTCAATCATGGAACCCTCACCTCCGCAAGTGACCTTCACATCAAAGGATTTAGGTTTCAGGCTTCAGTGTTTGGGGCTCAGGGTTTAGGGTTCAGGGTTTAGGGCTTTAGGGTTCAGGGTTTAGGATCTAGGGTGTAGCCTGTGTAGCCTTTGCTTTCAGCCGCCACTCGGACCGGCCCGCCGTTTGGGCCCAGCAGAGCAGTCGTGTTCTTGCAGGTTTCTTGGGCTTCTTGGCCCGACCTTGGGATTGAGGTCTTGGGATTTGTGCTCATTTTGGGTGGGGGTTGATGCCAGTGCCGAAGTACCCCCCGGATGGTGATCTGGTCACGGAGCAGATCCTGGAGCGACTCCTCCATCAGCGGCTGGGGTGCAGGTTTAGAGCTTATAGAGAGTGTAGGTTAGGACTTAGGGTTTTTAGAGCGTAGGATTTCGGGTTTAGAGTTTTGACAGCTTGTCCCAGGCCCCAAACTCTCGCTTCGCGCTTCTTTCGGTTCATGCTTTTTGTGCAGCTCCTGTGCTGAGGTATCGGGGCTTCTCTCGCCTCGTAAGTTCGAGGGTTTAGCTTCGGGTTTTGGCTTGCGGCTTAAGGTCTGAGAGGTCAGAGTTCAAACCCTAGGGCTCTCAACCCTGTGAACCTCACACTGCTTCGTTTTGGTTGTTTTATTTTGGGGGGTTCCTAACGGTTAGAGCCCAAATCCTGAAACCCTGAGCCAAGAGAAGGCAAGAGGCTAAGCTCAAGAGAGTCACTTCGATCAGTGCAGCAACTGTTGGCCGGCATCGCCAGAAGCCTGACCAGACAAACGGATCCGGCTGAACGGACTGACTGGGCTGACCGGGCCGACCGGACCGACCTGACCAGACAACCGGATCCGGCGGAACGGACTGACCAGGCCGACCGAACCGACCGGGCCAACCACGCAACTGACTGGACTGGATGGGCCGGCAAGCCTTACCTGACTGACCGGACGACTGACCGAACCGTCCTCTCTTCCTTTCCAAGTTTCTTGTTCTCTCTGTGTCTCTTTGTCTTTCTGTTCCCGCGCTGTCTTTAGATCTCTCCAAGTGGGAGGCACAGATCTCTCCTGACAGACCTTCGCACGCTCTCCCATTCCACCCCGCTCTGCTAATTGCGTTGCCGCCGTTTGTTTTCCAACCTCCACTACAGCCCTTTTATAACCCTTCCAATCTCCAGTTCAATTCCCTCTAGCTCTATTCCAACCCCGGCCCCATCCATGCCGAGAATATCGTCGATCTTCACCCATCCTGTTTCATGACACGCGATTGTTGGCATCGCATCGCCCCCGAGTTTCACGGTGCCACGAGGCTTTCCTAAACGATGGCGTAGGTCTGCTTGAATGTACGACAGCGCTTTCTTGGAGAGCCACCTTTGTTCATCTGACTAAAGCCTTGTTGCTTGCGCTTGTTGAACAACATCCCAGTCAGGATGACTGAGCGAATTGACATCCGCGCGAAGGCATCAACTCCAACAGGCCGCCAGATACTCCGTCTCCCATGTTCTTGTAAGCTGGGTTGCGATACTCATGGGATTGACCATGTACACGTTGATGCTTAGGCGGATCTCCCCGTTGTGGCAATGTCATGTCGCGATAGTTGCTCATGTTTCCAATGAGTTCAACCACTGCATCGTGGCTTTCTAGGCCCACGCTGGTAATGTCCTCACCACAAACTACGTTGTTGCCGCGTCGAATTTCCGACAGTGTCGCGACAGTCATGCTACGTGCCATAGCGAAAGATGAACATGCCTCCGGTGACAACCTCAGACCCTTGTCGAGGTCTTGCTTTGGCCTTTGGTCTCCTGGTACATGAAGAAGTACTTCCAGCTTCGTCCACATCTATCGACCCGGCAGCTTGAGATTGCTGTTGTTGAGCTTGTTGATCAGCTTGGGAAGATGCCAGTGTCATAGCTGTCGGGTAGGGGTCAATTGTCCATGGCGTCCTTCAGGATCCTGAACACTTCCGCGCTCTGCTGATGCTCCAGCGTCTCGCGTCTGCAATCATGGAAAGAATGTTGACAGTACACAAATTGCCCCTGTGCGTTCGCCAACCTCAGTAGATCCTGAATTCAATAAAATCCGGGCATCCATTGCTCTCGCTTTGACTGCATCGTTAATTTGTGGATCAGGTGGTGGAACATCCATTGTTTCCTCGTTTGGCTGTTCTGTCTCCGTGACATCGTCCTCAATGACTATGGGAGCGACTTCAACCCCTTGCGAAGAATCGATGTTGATGTCATCTTCCTCTTCTGCTCGAGCATCTACTCCTGAAACAGGCTGTAGATCTCGTGGAGTTGGCGTTGCTTCAAAACGAACTCGTGTAGGAACGTCCACCGTGTCAGCGATGTACTGATTGATTTCCGCATTTCTCCGTGGTGTTGATCTTTTCCTGGGATAATCAGCGGTGATCAGATGAATGCACTCAGCAGAGCTGTAGCGAAAGAAGCATCTTTCCAGCCCACGAATACAGGCATTGATTTCTTGAGGGTCGCCCCAATTGGTGAAGTGCTGTGGATATTTCATGGCAATGGTCAACATTCCTGAAAGTTCAAAGACATCTCCCAACAGCTCCTCTTTGGGGTTCTCGTTGCCGTAGAAGAGGTTCCTTCGATCCTCAGGAGCAAGAATTCTTTTCAAGAATCCGGCGTATGCAGCATTTCCAGCATCGTAGTAGCCAATGCAGCAAAGGTTGCCATCTTCATCATAAGCTCGGTCCCACGAAAGTTGTTTGGCTTTTCCGCAAACGGCATACGAAATCGCATGCTCTTGTGTTACGGTGCTACGCGAAGGCCACCGTAGGAGGACGCGATCTTGCCAACCCCTTCGTACGTGATCGGAGCGCATTTCTTCAGGTACTCGACCAAGTCATCGCCAGGCTTTACGAAAGCTTGGAATCATAGATGAACGCAGCGCACCCGAGGGCGCGGAGAGGTGAAAAGATAACCGGGGATACCCGCCCTTCCTCATAATCGGTGGTCCCGGATGCATCCGGCAGCGCGGTTTTGACCTCCCACAAGGCGACACCTGCCAAGAAGGTGCCCAAGGCCAAAGGGCCAAAGGGATCACCAAGCGGCGGCGGCGTCCAGCCAGCTCCGTCATGCAGGTGATTTGCAGGATCCAAAACGCTCCGAGACCAACAGCAACACCATTTTGGTTCGTGACATCTGAGCATGAGGGGGATGAGATCGTGGCATCTTCCTCGCACAGCGTTCCTTTGACCAGCGGAGTCAAGCCCAAGGAGCCAACGGATTCGCCAGCAGGCACTGACCGCCCTTATTGTGCATAAAAGCTTGCTTGCGTCACTGCTGGACTTGGCTTTGCGTGGTACGACATGAAGCGTACACATGCTGTAGCCCGCTTAGGCCCAGTGCAAAGAGAGTCGCTGAAGATGACCGCGACCCGACGCCTGCAACCCCCTTCAGAGAACCCGTCTTGGCAGCCAGATAGGTTCACAAACCAGAGCTGCACGGCGCACTGCGCCTCTTGTGCAATTCAGGCCCAACCTCTGCCGGAGCGCCGTTCTGTCCCAGTCTGGAACACTGCAACAAAGGACGGCCTTGCTCCTATCTGGTGTGGTGGACAGCCCGTCCTCCTGTGCAGTATGTCTTTGCCACGACCCTTGCTGGAGATCTGGAAAGATCTGTTTCGGGCCCGGACCGCAGCCTCCATACGCCAGAATGCCTGGACCACTGCGTACGCCCAGACGGCCTCCACCAAAAACGACCGGACCCCTGGCACTGCTGCGCAAGCCCGACAGTCACCGCAGAGGCCCGATCCCCATATCGACGAAAGGTCGATATGACTTCCCCCATCACCCAGCTTAGCCGCTTCGACCGACTCGGGGCAACTGACACAGACTTGTCCGTGAGTCCGTGAGCAAGCAGACCATCCACCGCCTGCCCTGGGCGAAGCGAAGGGACACCCAGGCCGCCATCGCAACCCTGGAGTCGGCAGGGCTATGGGCCTTCTTCCGGCCCAGACCTTCAGATGTTGCAAACCTCCTCATGACGAAGATGCCCTCTCGGTGCCGACCGAGCCTCCTCGCACTATTCTCCCCAAACTCTTTGCCACAGGTCAGGGGTGGCACGACATGAAGTACAACGACACAGCATCCATCTCCCAGCCGATGCGAACCATCCTCTGCCAGAACCTCATGTCGGAGCTGATGAAACGGGCCCAGAAGGTCCTCGACGACCAAGAAGCGAGGGATCAGAGGATCAAATTGGACCTGTACGACTTCAACAGCGGCTTCAAGTACCAGAAGTGGAACAACAAGGAGGGAGCAATGCAGACGATGGAGGACAGAGAACCGCTCCCCGAACGCAGAGTCATCGAGATAACCCGACAATTGACAGGTCTCAGTGTCAAGCCCCACCTGCTCAACCGCTTTCATGCGACGAGGCAGCTCCAGGAGCAAACGGAGGGCGCTACTGTCACCTGGCTTCTGGAAGTGGGACGGAGAGGGGAATCCACAGCCCGATTCTGGGAGCTACTCCAGCTCCTGTCTCACAACTCGGCGGTGCTCATGATCGGATGCACCCTTCGCCCGGACCGGCTCCAGCGCTCGGCCCTGGCCCAGCAATTACAGTCCCTCCTCCAATCCATGAACATCCCGATGCCGAGGCAGCAGCGACGGCCTTACGACCCATGCCCACACTGCAACTTCGCAATCCGTCCAACTACTGTTACTCACATGCCTGCTTGCTCGCTTATGTGTGGCTGATTGCTCAATCACCTTCCTCGTTTCAGGTCCTGGGCAGGGAGCCGCTAAGAAGCCTCTTCAGACAGGCCGCCCGTTCCACGAAGCTGAATCTCTGGTCCTTACCTCCCTGGAGACCGGCCATGGCCTGTACGTTGGGCACAGCCGGCAAGGCAGCATGATGTTGCGGACTTTCTTCTGCAGGTTCTAAATGCACCCTGCCTGCAAGGTCTGTGGCAATCCTACGATCCTGACCGCAACCTGTGCGATGAAGGCGGGGTGTGCCCGCTAATCTCACTGGCCTGCACGATGATACTGCTAGTGGCCGTTTGACTTCCGCCCAATCCCACATCCACTGCTGGCACTCCCAAAATCGTCTACATGCCCTGACTGCAGGAACCGAGGCTGTGGCGCTGCAGCTGACTAGCTTCAACAATGCAAGGGCCCACCTTGCTCATCCTTCAATGGACCCCTACGGGAATTATCTGGCGTACATATCGGCTCATTGCCATCATTCGACACTTAGGGGAGACAGTGACCACCGGGCACTATCGCACAGCCCCGCAACCGTCCCAGCCCGATACAGCCACTTGGCTCTACACACACGACAATCAATCTGCTGCTGACTGCCGTATAGCCGTATTTCTCGCCGCTTATATTGGGGCTACCGGCCCAGGCGAGTTCCCGTTTGCATTCGTTCATGTTTGGCGAGCTTGAACACTATGCTCCTGTTAGGGCTATGCCGCCCTAGTAGATGGCCGTGTCTAAGACACGCCCCGTAGCTGCTACGCAAAGACGTTCTCGAATGTTTGCGCCACGGAAGGAAGGAAGGCAGCAGTAGTTGCAGCAGCAACAGACGCACTAGTGGTGGTAGTAGTAGTCGTAGTAGTAGTAGTAGTAGTAGTAGTAGTAGCAGTAGCAGTAGCAGTAGCAGTAGCAGTAGCAGTAGCAGTAGGAGTAGCAGTAGGAGTAGCAGTAGTAGTAGTAGTAGTAGTAGTAGTAGCAGTCGTAGCCGTAGCCGTAGCCGTAGCAGTAGCAGTAGCAGTAGCAGTAGCAGTAGCAGTAGCAGTAGT